GCAGGGACAGGCGGGACACCAGCAGGTCCCAGACACTGCAATGACAGGCGCACAGAACTGCCCCAGGACTGTGGGAGGCCTGACAGCTTCCCTGCTTTTTACGGCTTCTTCCCATCAGCATTTTGCTTCCTGCCTCTCCCACCTGCTTGCACACGCCGGTCGCTTTTCAAATGTCACCCGAAGCCTCMGAGCTGATGGCCAAAGAAAATGGTGCAAAGCCCATGAGTGAGACACTGCACACAGCAGCTTCCTTTACAYGGAATTAAGGAGCCCTGTGGCCAGGGCTCCCTAGGACCACGTCCAAAGCAGGGCTGTATTTAAAGCAACTGAGAGGGGGAAAGGGAAGAGGAAAGGCCAAGCCCCGCCGCCACCTTCCCAGGGCTCAGCCGCCAGGCATCTTCTCCACAGACGACACTTCCCTTCTTCCCTGTGAGGGTGCCAGAGCCCTGGCACAGGCTGCCCAGCGAGGCTCTGGAGTCTCCTTCTCTGGATCTTCCAAACCCACCTGGATGCCGCCCTGTGCCCCGTGCTCTGGGTGCCCCTGCTGGGACTAGATGATCTCTAGAGGTCCCTTCCAACCTCAGCCATTCTGTGACTCTGTGATTCCCTGTTTACGCGGGAAGGCGGCGGCTCAGCGGCAAACACGGAATAGAGGCTGTAGCTGTGCCARGGGAATCCCTCAACGTCCACGGAGGAACCTGGGAATTCTCGGTGAAGGAAGGAGCCGTACAGCTAACCCACACACTTCGCTGGGAAGCCACAAAGCATTGAATTTAGTAACRCAGAGCATCGGTGGAGAGCGTGGCAAGAGGAGGCAGGGCCTGCTCCGTCACACCTCAAGCAACTGCTTGTCAATGAAAACGTGACAGCAGTGAGTCCTTGTGCAGGTATTCAGTGGTGATAAACTTTAAACTCGACATTACTCTGTAGTTCACCACAGAAAAGGCCCAACTGGAAGCGCAGAATAACGGCGACGGGTCGGGGTAACGAGTGCTCGCTGAGCTGGATTTCTTGAAAGGAAGCAGCTCGTGAGGACGGCTACCAGGAAGCGGGTGGGAGCAGCCCAGCAGCCGTCCCGGAGCACCCGGCCCACGCAAGGAATCCAGCGGCGCTGGAATGGGGCGATGGGATGAGCGGAGCCCCGGGAAGAGGCCTGTGCTCGAGCGCTGCCTGCTCCGCGCTGCCTGCGGAGCTGCGGCCGAACAGCAGCTCTAACGTTACAGGAGTCCACGTTTCAGAGATGAGGTTGAAAAGGCAGGAAAAGGAAAAAAAAAAAAAAAAAAAAAAGAAAAGAAAAATCAGGTGAACTATTTCATGGTGGCAAGACCAAGGAAAGAGGCACTGGGTGGGAATGAGGGAGGCCACCCTGTGAAGCATCTCCTTGTGCCCACAACGTGGTAGTTGCGCTGCCTAATTTCTCCCCTGTATTTTTCTGTCAATGACTGGTCTTCCGAAGAAAGTTCTTCCGAGGGTCAAGTGGCAGAAGTCAAGTCAGCTGCTTTCCTCATGTCAAGACCGGGTGCCCTTCCGAAAGCAGAAGTCCATGAAGTTACCTTGGACGTGAGGAGCTTTGCACTTCAAAACTGCCCCGTGCAGACTGCCACTGGTGCTCTATGTGCAGTGGGCAAGAAAGGGAGCTGGGGATGGAAAGCAGATGTGAAGATGAAAAAGAAGGTAAGAAAGACACTCCCAGCCCTGGAAATGAACTTCCTGGTCCTGCAAACATTTATGGAGTGGCCACACTTGGGAGGAACAGTTCCCTGCTTGTTCCCTTGAGAGCTGCACAACGTCACTCATGTTCGTTCACACGGGCAGCAGCAGCAGCAGCAGCACAACACCGGGATCTAAAAGCACTTACACCTATGAGAAATTTAAAATGTAGTTTTAAGCGTTCTCCTAAAGCCAACAAAATTCACTAGCATATTTAAGGTGCAATACACKGTGGAATGTTTTATGCACAGATGAAGAAGTTCCAAAAGAGCCTGCTCACACACTCAAAAGGGCATCCTCAGGAGTATCTAGGGATGGTTCAAGGATAAATATGGTAGTGTTTCCAAAGTAAAATCTACTGGGCATGTACAGCATGACCCAGAGGCAGTGGCATCTGTTCTGGTGAATATATCACAAACCACATATTTGAGCTTTGATTGTGCTAAGAGGACGCAGAGCTTCTGCTAGAAAAAAAGAAAGTTTTTTAGTTCCTTCACTCCTTAACAGAGTCCACAGAACCACTCCAAAATACACTCTGAAATTCCTCTGAAAGCTCCTTACGGTACCACCAGGGCACAGCATCAAGGAGGGAACTGTCCCCTCYGCTCGCACTTGGGCTGCCTCTCCCCGGGCTGCTGACCACCGTCGTGCAAAACCTCCAGGCAGAGCTTCGGCTCTGACTGTGTTGGCTGAAGAAGACAAAATACTGACTGCAGCAATCTGAAGATGACAGAATGAGAAGAACAGCCTATAGTTTAAGAAAGATGGGAAAATAAGAGTTAAATTACAACAAATCACGCTTGAGAGGGAAGGATTCTGCTTAAAAAGCGGGATTTCGTCCCCGAAAAGTGTGGACAATGCTGCAAAGGGCAGCCTAAACATGGGTCAGCGGGACCATCTGCACCTGGAATCAGGAGATGTCCTATTCTCCTCTCCCCATCCCTCTCTGGACGTGGAAACCAAGGTAGAGAACAGGAAGGTCTATGGGCAAAGAGCCTCTCACGTGAGGGAGGGAAGCGCCCGGTTCCAGGAGCAGGGACAAGGAGGCCCRTTTTGCTCTCCCTCCTGCAGCCGCCGTCACCGCGCAGCAAACCTGACAGACGCCCCGTGCTCACTGCGCGGCTGTGCCAAACAGCGGCGCTCCGGGTGACACGGGCAGGGCGTGCGTTTGTGTAAAGCCAGGCACACAGAATAAAGCCCGGAAAGAAGAACAGGCGTCTTGGAAAAGTTAACCCAGTTCAATTGCGCACAGCCCCCTGCCTCCTCATGACTTAATTTGTGGGTGAAATTTGTAAATGGCTGYGTTAGCTACACAGGCACAGCGCTCTGAAAGGCGAAATAACTGAGGCTTTTTGCTCCTTCTCTCTCAGAAAGCAGTTTTATAATTAAATCCCTCTGTTCCTGCAGAAGGAATAAGGTTAGGTGTGAGAATAAGCCAACATATAATCCCTGTTTCTGATCTGCACATCTCTCAATGCTATTACAAATGCTGCTCATMCGAAATAGGTCTAGTAAAGTATGGAAGATTACTAAAAGATTGCCTCCCATCTCTGCTTCCAAAATCCTGTCTCAATGGCACTCACAGAGCAGGTTTCAGCTGTGCAGTGTGTACACTGGCTAATTGAGGGAGTCAGATCAAATCAGCACGCGAGACACCAGGCTGGCTGGATCCCTTTGCTTTGGTCACCTTTCATTTTCTCTCAGACAATCTCAGTTCACGCCTACAGACACAAATCAAACACGTTCCAAAGCTTAAAATAGTTCTGGTACCTAAAAGATAGGGACAAAAAATGACCATTAATTATAGGCCTAAATTGCAGACTAACAACAAACTTGTTCAGGAAGAAAAAAAAAAAAACCACAATAGCAAGCCTGGTTGTGTTAGGATTTATAGACCTGCACCTGAGAATGGCGACCACAGAGCCTGTGCCCTAAACTTTGCTAGCAAGAAACAGTCTATTGGTTTTCATACCCACTATGCTGTTTACTGCCCTTTCAGGATCACCTAGGCTTTTGTTTTACCAAAGMACCATTTAAGCTTCACCAGTGCTTCGCAGACAGCAACCTGGGGTCACTGCCACTTCCATGAAGCACCGACACTTGAGGGCCACCTCCAAAGCCACTGCYAGTCCTCATGAGGGCCACCTCCAAATGCACTGCGACCCCTCAGCTTTTTCTTTTTTTCCTTCTAGCAACTGAGTGGCCCCTTCCAAGTCTCGAGGCAGCTGGAGGTCAATATGGGATGGAAGCTTCGGGGAGCGGYGCAGCCGCCCCAAAGGGCAGCGTTAGGCACACGCTATTGCGGGAGATCACAGCCGGGTTTAAGGCACGCTCTGCCCCGCTCCCTTCCCTTCAAGGAGGAGAAACTGGAGGATGTTGTGCTTAACCAAACCCASGGGAAGGGAAGGGAAGGCTGTGGGGCTACTTTCTCTCCTCGCTTCTACCTCGGCGAGCTCAGGGGCGCCCTGGCAGAGCCGCCTCTAGGGGAGATGCAGCAGTGACCCCAGCCCGAYGGCAGCGTGAGCTCAGCCCGGCAACCTCGCTGCCTCCCCGCGCCCAAAGACGCTTCCCAACGACAGGAACGACACAAAGCGCTTCCCTTTATGGAAGGCAGCAAAGCTCTACCCAGACACCAGCACAGCATCGGGGAGAACGTCACCCCCGAGACGGCACTTCGTGTTCAGGCACTCGTAGGGCCGCGCTGTTTACGAGCTTGAGGAGGGGCGATGCGCCGTCCCTTTAAAAGCCCTGCTCTCCGCTGTATTTTTAGAGAGCGTTTTTATGTCTACAGGAGGAGGGAGCTCCCCGTGTTGGAGGGTTCCCATGGCAACAAGGCCACGGGGAGCTGGAGTCGGGAACCCCCTGGTACCCATGGCCACAGGGCCCCCTCCAAAACCTGCCGCGCGGCCCGCTCCAGAACGCACGAGGTGCCGCCTGTCCCAAAGCTCCCCGGGCAGCCCGCTCCAAAGCCTGCATGGCCGCAGGGCCTGCTCCAAGGCCCACAGCACGGCCCGCTCCAAATCCCGCACGTCCGTGGGGCCTGAGCCGCGGCGGCCAGGGCGGCGCGGGCCGGGCCCTGCGGAGCCGGCAGGGCGGCCGCGCTCTGCTCGCCGAGCAGGGACAGGGACAGGGAGGACGGTGCCGAGTCAGTAAGGGCTGCCGCYGGGAGCGGGCCGGGGCGCCAGCCCTTACCCTGCGCAAGGGGAGCGGCGGCCGCGGCCTTCCCGGAGCAGGCAGGGCTGGCGCCGCGCGGGGACCACACGGGCCCGGTGTGCGGGCACGGAGCCCGCGGGCTTCCCGCTGGGATGCGGCTTCCCRGGGAGCTTTCAGCGGTGTTGGAGGGAAGAGCCGCCAGCGGCTGCCCGCTGGCCTCGCTCCTGCCGCGCCAGCCAAGGGAGCGAGGACGAGGATGCCGCATTAGAGGAGGACAAAATGAGGTGGGTTTTGTTTCTGAGATCCATTCCAACGCTATTTCTTTCACCTGTGAAACACCAAGAACTACTCTCATCTCTCAGTACCGTGGCATCTGCTGGAAAGCASCTCCACGGAGAGGGACCTGGGAGTCCTGGTTGACACCAAGTTAACCATGAGKSAGCAGTGTGCCCTCGTGGCCAAGAAGGCCAATGGGATCCTGGCCTGCATCAGGAGGAGTGTTGCCAGCAGGTCAAGGGAGGKGATYCTGCCCCTCTACTCAGCKCTGGTGAGGCCGCACCTGGAGTACTGTGYKCAGTTCTGGGCACCCCAGTATAGGAGGGACGTGGAGCTTCTGGAGAGGGTCCAGAGAAGGGCARCCAGGATGATTAAGGGAATGGAACATCTCTCGTATGAAGAGAGGCTGAGYGAGCTGGGCCTGTTTTCTCTGGAGAAGAGACGGCTCAGAGGGGATATGATTAAYATGTATAAGTTCAGGAAGGGAGAATGCAGGGAGGAAGGGGACAGGCTGTTCTCACTGGTGGCCAGCGATAGGACGAGGGGTAATGGCCACAAGCTGAAGCATAAGAAGTTCCGTCTCCAGGTGAGGAGSAACTTCTTTACTGTTAGGGTGACAGAGCAGTGGAACAGGCTGCCCAGGGAGGTTGTGGAGTCTCCTACTCTGGAGGTCTTCAAAACCCGCCTGGATGCCACCCTGTGCCACATGCTCTAGGTGTGCCTGCTTGAGCAGGAAGGTTGGACTAGATGATCTGTAGAGGTCCCTTCCAACCTTAAATATTCTGTGAATCTGTGAATCTCACAGGTGGGATTCCTTTTGCAAGAGTAAATAAAAGGCCAAAGCAATTTGCAATCTCTACAAAACAGGAAACTGATGTAGGATTTTAAAAGGGTTTAGACCCTGCAGCAAGTTTTTCTCAAGGCTTGGCTTAATTCTGTGAAGGACGCCATTGCACAAGTCAGTTTTGCGTTTCATCCAGGAGCGATCGCCTTGAAACCTCAGGAGAAAGTACCTGCCTGGATCCCGGGCAATCTCCTCACGTGTAAGGACAGAGCATTTGGCAGGAGATTCCCCGGGATCCAGGCAGGTACTTCGCACCTGTAAGGACAGAGCATTTGTCCTGGCAGAGGTCCTGGCAAAGGACTGTGAGCTTCCTACCCCTACCTGCAGCACGGCAGCCCCTGGGGAGGCATCATCTCTATCTTAGAGTACCTGCTGCTTTGGCRGTCAAGCCCTAAGGGGTACATAAAAACTTCAGACTGATTACTTTTATATGGCTAACCACCATGATTCATCCAGCTCTATGCTCCAGGGAGAAAAGAAGGAAGCAGGCACTTAGCAAGTCCTTGATTTCCGTTTAACTTCGGTAATGAACGTCAAGCAAGCTGTGGGAAGCAGAAAAAAAATCCAGCCTTATTCCAGTTGGAGAAGCACTTAACAAACCTAAGAGACTCTGGGAAAAGAGAGRAAAAAAGAGATACTCAAGATGTGGGTGGCACATGGAAGGATTAATTTGTGTTAATTAGAAGTTGTGGAGGAGGAATATTTTGTGGGGTGGGGGGGCAGTCTCAAGATTTCAGGGAACAATGTGATAAATACTAATTGGTAATTACTTCTCCATAGTGGCAAGCAGCTTTCAAAGTCACTTCTGCAAACGTCACAGCTCCTGTTCAGTGGCTAAGATGCTCCCTGCCCAAGCCTCACACACCACTACTCTGGCAGGACCGCTCTGCCTCTCACTAGCAGCATCTCTCCTCGTGTCTCATGTCTGATGAGGGTAAAAGAGGGAATGAACAGGGTTCTTTTCCCTCCTCGGAGAACTAGGGTTATCTAAATTACAGGGATTTAAATAAAACTGCCAGGAGAAGCTGCCTTGCAGAAGGAAAGTTCAACATGGTTATGWGAAAGACTAGAAATAGAAACTAATGTGAAAAATCCCAGCTCATAATCAATTATATCATTACGCTGTCATGCACAGATGTCATCCTTTTATTTGCCCTAAGCAGGCAAGTTTTAAACRTTCCCAGTCCTTTCAGAAAGCCCAACGTTGAATCATTCTTGCTATAAGGCTACCACGGCTACATCAAACATGGACTAACCTGGAGAACCATATTCATGTCTCGGCAACCTGCAGATTTTAGGCATCACTTCCATTAGGGTCTTGACATACTGAAGAATCGTCCCTTGTAGCTAAGAGAAAACAGGTGTTTGTTAAAACAGCATTCATCATCTCAGAAACTGCACAACAAAATGCACTCAAACGGCACAAAGAAGTTCTAAAGATCCTGCTTATAACACTGCCAAGCAGCATCCTTAAAAGAGAAACTTTGAGAAAGGAAAGAACCTTGCATTTTTACTTCATATAGCATCAGCTGCTTTTTGCTACAGAAAAATCACACAACAGCTACTGCCAGGAAGAAAAAAAGGAAATATCCAAAGTATTTTCTTGCAGAAATTATCATCTCTATTGTCTAACCAACCTTTAAACTTGCTTTTATAAAGAAAGCAGCATTTGAGTGTTTTCAAAAGCTACAGGACAAAACCCCTCAGCATTAGATAAGTCTGTCCCAGGTCAAACTGGCCGCTCCAGAGGCACCACTGGGGCCACAGTCACAGTCACCCTTCCTCCCACCCATCTCCCACTCAYCTTCCCACCTATATTTAAGCACATGTGCCAGGCATCAGCCTGCCTGCCTTCCTGCAAACATTTCACCTTCTTTTCAAAATGCCCTACCATGCCAAATGATCTTCAATGAAGGTAACTGCTGTGCACAAACCCAACCAAACAGCCAAAAACTGTCAAAATCTGCTGAAAGCTTCTGTGTTTGCATCTTTCCTCCGTGACTGTATCATAGGGTCCCCTTAAGCAGCCCTCACCCTTTATAGCATTTTAAAAATTTACTTAGAATACCATGGGAATTACAGAAAAACTGGTGCCATGTGTGCCAAGTGTCTGAAGTGAGACTATTAATGCTAGAGCTGTAAGGTTTGATTATTTTCATCACATTTTCCTGTCAGGGAGCAGGGATAGGAGGAGAAGACCATTTCTTCAGCTTAAATTGAACAAACGGCCCTGCAGTCTCCTCCTAAAAGCCCCTCATCCTCCAAGGCCCATCCTTCTCTTCCAGGAGCCCATTTCTAATACGAGATGCAGAGGCCATACGAGTAACTTGTTCAGCATCAACTGCTGGATCAAGCACTGAGATTGGGCCTTCCTTGTTCGTAAGGGTCAATGACACTATTAGTGAAAGCTCTAAAGTTAGAAAAGGCAGGAAACACTCCAGCTGTCCTCAAAAAAACAGAGAGAAGTAAATTATCAGTAAGACTTCTACTTAGAAGTGAACTCATTTGAAGCACTTAGACTTGTCCAGAGAAGCCTCCCAAGGATTTTCCATATTCATCTTCAAAATGGAAAGGAGACTTTCCAAACACTGCATGATCACCCAGGCACTTGTTCTACTGCTTTCTGAAGATGTTGGGTGCTCTCAGTCATAGCTTATATTGAACTTCATGCAAGTCACATCTCAATGAGTATTATCTCTGTCTTATTTTCCTTAGAAATCTAAATGTTACATTTCATAAGACAATCATAAGCAGAAAATGAAGTACAGTCAACATACCAGGCTCTTGACAACTTTCAGCAGCTCCTCCATTACTACAGCAATGCCCTGATACCCAAGAAGCCTACAGATGACTTTGAAGTGAGGGGGGCCAACAAAATTCCTGTAGTTGCTGTAGATGCTGGAATACGCCAGATTCAAAGCCTAAAAGGGAGAGAAGCAGATCTGATTAATGACAGTTTCATCTGATCGTATCCTTACAGCAAATCTCCAATAAACAGTATTTTTAAATATGTTAGAAATAACAAATGAAAAACAGCTTACATTTTGCTATTACATAGGAAGTCAAAATACATAGTTTCCCCTTTTTGAGAAAGAAATTCCAATGAAAACTTCAATTTTCGCAAGAAGCACTTGTGAATAGTTCTTGTTCACCAGGCCTATTTCTCCSTTAGTATTTGTCAAGCCACGAGTTATTTCCTCTATTTCACATTCCTCTGCTCACACAAGTACAAAAGGWTAAAAGTAGTCCCGGTCAATGTTTAGATTTCTACATTTTCAGCACGGCCTCTCAGCTTATATGGCCCTCTTCACGTACAAACCCTTTTCAAAGAAATGCCTTCACTTTTCATATCACGGCAGTCCTCTGAATTCCCTGAAGACTCCACTAAACAAAAACAGGCTTGTGCAGTGACTCGTCCGGGCAGCTAATTAAGAAGGATCTTGTTGCTCAAACCCCATAGCCAACCAGGAGATCAAAGCAACCCTGAGCCTGGGGGGTGACCCCCTGGAAGTCAAGTGTGGAGCTGTGTATACAGGACCAGGTGCTGGGCCCTGTTATTATTTCTTCAGAGTGACAGAAAGGCTGCTGGCTGACGCTGTGTAGGGATGTAGAAAGGGGCTGCTGAAGGCAGGGATTAAAGGGGAGCTTGTTCATTTAACCCGCACCATTTGAACAACGGGTCGCTCTCCCAGAGTCCCCAGATTTATTTTTAAAAGGGAATCTCGTCAGCCTTCCCTGCAGAAGGCTCCGCCGCGTTCCCTTTCCTTTTCCACGGTTATCGGCGTCTCTCGCACAAGTACACAAGGCTACAAGACCTTCAACTCAGACGTCAGCTGTGACGCACAGAACTTTCCTTCCTCAGTATCCAGGGAGAGGAGCGCTCATTTTCTCCCCAGCGCAGATCCTACCCCCGGCACCCGTGCAAGCCAAATCCAGAGAGCTGTAATCCGTACCACATGGCGCTGCGCAAAGAAACGCCTGGGCAGCTAAGCCACGAAATTCTACCAAGCTCTTGGATAATTTTTCTCTTATAAAAGAAAGGGATTTATAATGTGGGTGAGGGCATGGGAGAATGGGAGCTGTATCTTGGGCTGCCTTCGGCAGAGCGTTGCCAGCAGGAGGAGGGAAGTGATCCGGGTCTGGGCTTCCCGACAGCAGGTAGACGAGGTCCTGTGGGAGCAAGTGCAGCCAAGGGCCACGAGGACCCGGGAGGGAGCGGAGTCYCTCTCGTGTGAGGAAAGGCCGAGGGATGCGACCGCTCGGCCCAGAGGAGGCCACCCGGGGCACCTTGGGGCGCGTTTAAACCTCTCAAGGGAGGAGGATGGGCCAGGCTCTTCTCCGTGGAGCCCACGGACGGGATGAGAGGACACGGTCCTGGGCAACATGCTGTAGTGATCGTGCCTGAGGAGGATGGCCTTAAGGATGGTCTAAGGACGGTCTAAGGAAACGTGCCCTAAGGATGCCCTGTTGGAGTTGATGTTGCGAAACTCGCAGCCACCCTTCCCGGGAACACCAGAGCTGCCAGGGCCGCTCGAGCGAGGCCGCGAACCCGCTGGTGACGCYGCGGGCTCGCCGCGAGCGCGGAGCTGAGCCAGTGGCCCGTGCCAGGCAAGGACCACCCGGCGGGCGCCTAGGGCTGCCCTCCCTCGGGGGCAACGCACGCCTTCGGGCAGCCTTCTGCGCACAGAACGGGCTCCGAGGTACTGCACGGCGGGGAGAACGGGTAACACACGAGAGAATGTGTGGATGCCTCGATACACTGAGCATCTTATAAAGGTGCCCCGAAAGGTGGGATTTCATCTTCTGCTTGTGACGTTTCAACCAGGCAACACAAACAAGGAATGTATCCAAACCACCTATGACAGCTACAGAAAGTTACAGTGTAAAGAAKATTTTACTTTAATAAATTAAAGAATTTTACTGGCCTGAGTTCTCACTCTACTTCAACACAGACTAAGCGAAGGGGACGCCCCTTCACACACCAGGATTTGTCACAGAAAAGCAAGCTCTTAAATTGCTACTTCAGTATAAAAAGCTCCCCAAACACAACAATAACTTGATCAATCTAAAATGAAAGAAAATTTAACAAGAAGCCTTTTATTAAAGTAACATTATTGGGGAAGTATCTAAAAAGGCCGACCTGTGCAAACGCTGGATTAGCAGAGCTTTATGAACGGAGATCTAAAAAACCATCATCACAGACCCTCACTGCCTGCCCCCCATGGCACCCAGAAACAGAAAGCTCTTAGGGCAGGAGCCACTGACAAGGCCGGCGGGAGCGAGGGAAGGAAAAGCAGAGGGAGCTGGTTATTTTTTAAGCTGTGCTTGCTGCTTGCTCCCTCCCCTGTTAAAAAAAAAAAAAATAGTTGCTGATGTCACCGAAGTGCTAACATTAATCACTCACAGCATCACCGGCACACACAGAGCAGCACACAACAGGGATGCTGAAGCAGCCCCGCGCCCAGCAGGAGGTAAGTGAGAGAGGAGGGAAGAGCCGTTATTTCCTCCGGGATTTTCTCGAGGAAAGAGCCGTTATTTCCTCCGGGATTTTCTCGAGGAAAGAGCCGTTATCTCCTGCAGGATTTTCCCGGAAAGACAGGGTGCCTTCGGAGCACACGTGCCCCTGCACAGCGTGAGCAGAGGAGAAGCAGCAGCGGCGCCGCAGGGAGACACTGCTCGGGGAGAGCCCGGCCGAGGGGGAGCAAAGCGACCACGCGCACTGGCAACCACAGACCATGAAGGAAGCACCTGATGTAAAAAGGGGCAGAAAATCTGGTGTTTCTCTCGTCTTCACGTCAGCGCCATATGAAAACTCTGCTCTGAATCTTCCATCAGCAAGTGGAGGTGAGTACTGACTTTATCRTCTATAAAATACCAAATGTGTTTCCCAAACGTTAACATGCCAATAATTACACATCCTCGAATAATTTATGTTTCAGATGAAACAGAAATAGTCTTATTGTTACTTATTTAAAATCCAGGCACTCCCTAACTCTACTTGCAAAATGCAGTGAAGATGAGAGTATTATTTCTAGACAGTAGCAGGAAGTGCTCCTTATTAAAAAAAGAATATATATATATATATATATATATATATAAAAAAAACGTGGCTCACTTTTAACATCCGGACAAGCTGGTGTCAAAAGCTGTCTGTCTAACCAGCCTATCTGAGAGCAAACCCAATTCCTTTGCGTTGCTGCTGTGTAGAGAAGGGAGCGCTCATCACAGGGCTAGGCAGCCAGCCTCCACGCAGACCCCTCTCACCTAAGGTTTTACATTGCAATGACAAGGCACACACGCCTTTTTCCACTGCCTCCCAGCAAGTGTAATCCAAAAGCCATAAGCAACATTTTCATATATAAATATTGCAGAATTACTAACATAACTATCAAGATCCTGCTTGAATAATACAGATTTTGCCAGCATTCTTTCTAGGTAAAGCACACTGGTGGTGCTCCAGAAAATGTTATGAGCAAATTTGATCAGCTTCCTGTATCAGAACAAAAATCCAGATTTGATTGTTATTTAAGCCAGGAGACTTAACATCTTAACACTGATGATAAAAAATAAAAAAGTTATAACAAGTTACATCATTTCATAAATAATGAAATACTATGCTACTGTTGTGGGCATTTATGTTCATTAAAAAACTCAGGAATTTTAACAGTGGAAAAAGACTTGCATAGGTGTAGCACTGGAAACAGAATTAAACCAGAATAACTTGCTTACGGACCTTTGAAAAAGTTATGCTTGCATCAAAAGAAAAAAAACCACCTAATCTACTGCTTCTTATTTTCTTATCAAACACCAGTTTTAATTAAAATGCCTACTGAGGTCCAAGCTAACCTTTTGTCCCGTAAAGGAAGATATTCATTAATAGGAGTGTTTGGAGAATTGTAGAAAACAGGTATTTCCCTTGCGCTCTTTATAGTGSTAATGCAAAATGATAATTCCAAAATACTAATACTAAAATGCTAATATTAAATTTATTACAAGGAGTATTAGATTTGTGCCTGAGTTTGGGACAGACTTTGGAATTACATACAATCTCTCAGCATCGAAGAGGGAATTACAGTTATTGAAAAAAATACAAAATAAAAAGCACCATTTAGCTAAAGTAAAGGACTTAAAACTAACSTCAGGGGCTGACTAGCATCAAGCTGAAGCACTGTGATTCTGAGGCCAAAAACCCACAGTGATCACTTCAGTAGTGGATATAGACTTGCTTGTCTCATAAGCAAAGAATGGAGAAAATCAGGGCATGAAAAACTACTGTAAAAGGATATTGAAGGTAAAATAGTATCTGGTGATGTTTTTATACACTGATTTTTTGTTGTTGTTGTTTAAATCATCTGGGTCAAAAACCAGGGCTTTATCGCACTCCTGCTGCCTCTCACTTGCTAATTAACAAAAGGAAATTCACTGTCCCAAAGCAAACTTTGAGATTACAGGGATCATTACACAACTAAAAATACAGGGAATACTTAAGAGTTCAGAATGACTCAGACTTAAGCACAGGAGGAAAACCATGATGCATTCCTTTCCAAAAAGGAAGGAAAAGAAACACTTCCCAACACACTCTAAAGGAGGCATTCTTTTTTGCAGGTTAAGTAGTTGACTAGTTGGATGGATAATCTGTCTTTAATATAAAGCCAAAGCAGACAGGTTTTCAACTCAGTTTAAAACGTAATGTCATTCTTCTTATGAGGGCTTGGGTCAAAATTACAKTAAACACTAGGTTTTTCCATTTAAAATGTTTATGTTATTAAACCAAACATTCCTATGTTGCTCCAAAGAGAGATTTATTAAAGGATCCCCCAAAGCTTCTAAACATATGGGTTTCTGCAGGGATCCCCTGCAAACTCCTGAAGATAAAAACAGACTGTGGCTTCATCCTAGGGGTTGTACCAAGCGCCTCGGT